TGTTGGCAGAGCATGAATGGGTCACTGAGGCATTTTAGCCTTTGCCTTTGAGGTTAATCTGAAGAACTTTTCAGGTTTGACTGTTTATTTGCACTTGAAGCAAAACATGGTATCATAAAGCAGCCTCACCACTTGACCACTTGTTTGAGAATTGATTAGCGCTTGAAGTAGGAAGATGCAGCCTCTGCTTGTGCATTTGATGTTGGCTTCTGGGTCACATGTGGTTATGTCTGAAACGAGTGACGATCGCTCGGTTCAGACGTGACGAGGGAGTTGATTGCTGTGCATTGCGTCAGTTGTCAGTGATACATGATGAGTTTAACACCACGTCTGTTGGTGTTTCTACCTCATAGCCTGCAGCACGGGACTCCACAGCTCCTGTCTCAGGGAGAGCATCACTACATCACTCCTCCTGCTTTGAAGTTTGCAGAGCGCTGGAGTGCTTATGTGCACGTGCATGTGTGTGCATTAGAGACATAATGTTACTGTATGTGTGCATCTCAGCTGTCATATGAGGCATGTACATGTCCACAGGTTCATAGACACCTGCTCATCTAACATCTCTCTAGAAATCAGGGTAGTTAACAGGAAGTCTGCCCCACTCCCCTGATTTGCTGCTTCTAGAAAGGCTTTACACTATTTAGATTTTGCTGTGAGGAAAAGCATTAGTGACGTCAGGTACTGATGCTTGATTATTTGTTGTGGATAATAAATGCCTCTCCAGCTCATCCCAAAAACTTTGGTTGGTGCATCTTCATTTGACTTGCAGACGTTCTTCTGTGTCTATTTCCTTAACTCAGTGGGCTTCTTGACACACATCCTTTCAGACCCACAGTGTTGAGTTGTCTTCTCACAGTGGAAGGAAGGACAGAAACACCTGTGGATATTTTCAGATCTGAAGTAAGAGTAGAGCTTGATTTTATCCTCTCTCTCTCAAAGATGAAAGCTTCAGATACTATTTATCTGATGGTGACAGTTTTGATGCTTTACAAGGTCTTGCATAGTTGTCAGGAGTCCCTTTATCTTTATATATCTATATATTTATATTTTCGCCCAGCCCTAATATATATATATATATATATATATATATATATATATATATATATATACATATATATATATATATATATATATATATATATATATATTAGGGCTGGGCGATAAAACGATAACGATATAACTTTTCCTCGATAGAGCGATAAGACGGGTTCGATAAATGTTCGATATTATACACCCCTCTCACACTTCCACGTTTTAGCGAAAGCCCTGGTGGCGTTTTCTACTGCAAGGAAAGCGACACTACTCTGCTGTCGCCAGGAGAGGGCGCACTTCCGAGTTTGTCGACCTGATTAGAGAGGGAGGGGGCCACGAGTAAAAAAAGGGTCGCCAAACATACTTTAGCAACGGCTGAAACGCGGAGTTATACAGTCCCTGTTTAAGCGGAGCGACCGGCGATCTGTTCTCCTGTGACCGAGTGTGAGTGACGAGGTCAGTGACGTAACTGTACTGTCCTAGAGTGAACTCACCTCTTTCCGTGCATCCTAACAACTTTAGCGGTGTTAAATCACGTCTACAGCGCCAAACCGTCATATGTTAGTATTAGTGCATTCTCGAGCAACGAAAGTGAAAGAAAGAAGTGGGTTCATGTTCGAAAGTAAACTGATGAAGCTGTGAGGCATTGGAGAGCGGGAGAGCGCTATCTCTCCAGGCTAGCTGTTTTTAGCTGCTGGCTAACTTGAAGCAGCGCTCCGGCACAACACGGAGAATTGATGATACTGTAATCAAACAAGACACAAAATCACTGCTTTCAGTTTAAACATACCTAAAAGGAGGACTCTGTTTGTCTGGTGTGAGAGATTCACACTGCAGATAATGCTTTTACACAGCGAGCGTCAGATATACTGCGGTTCTCCCCTTAAACTACTGCGATAGCATAGAGAAACCCAGTCATCGCTAGCTGGTGTCGGAATACTGTGATCTGCTCTGACATGGATGTGGTAGGAGTGACAGCAGTGACCTCCCGAACCGAGTTGACGTTGTTGAGAAAGAGTTTAGCGCTGTTGTTGGCCACTTGTTTAGCATTAGCTGAGCGCTCGTCACCAGACAGCTAAAAATAATCTTTTTCGTTTTCTTTCTTAAATTATGACTATTACAAAAATTGCAGCTGTGCTTTTCAAGCTGATAAAAACAGCTCAGAAACTCTCTCCCACTCTTCCATGACAGATTAGTGAAATGTTCCACTGTTTGCCGAGTGTTTGTCATGATCGGACCGTAAGTGATAGTTTAAAACCACAGTTAACCACCCAGGAGCAAAATCAGCCTTCAAACGTGAAAGAAATCATGATTTGACATTTATCGCGATATGTATATATATATATATATATATATATATACAGTTTTGATGACTCCTGTTTAGTTTTTTCACTTATTTTCCTTTGACCCCCCCCTTCCTTAGGCAAGTATCTTGTATCTTACATCTAATCTCCTCATGAATATGAAAAAATTGAAAAAACTTATACTTAATAGCCTTTTTGAGAGGAAATGGAATAAATTAAGGGTGGCCTCTGACTTTTTCACAGTTTTATAAAAGTATGTGTTTTTGTGTTTATGTGCACGGTCAGCATCGCACAGCTCTGTGGCTGAATGTGTTTGTAGTCAATACTATTCAGTGCAGTGTGGGACTATATTTCTTATAAATACTGTTGTTTGTGAAACTGTAGAGACTGTTTAGGTGAGAAAGCGGCTCTTTTAAACTCAGCAGAAAATGCAACCTGCTCTGTTTGATTGATGCCTGTGGATAAAGCCCTGTGCTAAATCCATAGTAATACAGTTTGCCCTTCGCTTTGTCTTGCAAATAAACTCTCGCCCCATGTTTGATAGCCCCTCTGCCTGTTTTATGTCTCAGATTCTGCTACATGGCTTTTTTTATTCTCAGAGAAGAGAACTCTTACAGCACTGCAGTATTTCACTAAGAAAGACTCTCACTCTTTTCTGTGATGTGCTGCCTGCCGCTGTAGCACTAGGAGAGGAAGGGAATGGAGGGGAATATAGCCAGGCTAAGTTTTTAACTTGAGTGCTTAGTGAGACTGAGAGAGCCTAGGTGCTTCCGGGGTTTGGATTGAAGTTTCAGGTTGTCAGCAATGGAGCTTTGGTTTTGAGTCAGCAGAGTGGCAAAGCTGTTCCATGTCCATTTATAGGAGTTTTTCTTTTTATACACGTAAGAGAGCTTTTTTGTCTCTTTTGTATCACACTTGTGTTTTTATCTATAATATTTTTGCATTAAAAAAATTCAGTTTTGAGTGATACAATGTCCTAGTCGTTGACAGCGTCAACTGGGTACACTGTCCCAGGTTTTGTGTCAAAATCTAACAGTGCATCAGAGTGCAAAAGAGAGGATATTCTTATCTAAAATAGGAGACCAAGGTAAGATTAGAAACATACACACTCAGAAATAAAGGTATTAAATTGTCACTGGGGTGGGACCCTCAAGAGTACATCTCAGTACCTTTGTTCAGGGAACATAATTGGACCATAATCCATTGAAATTATATTTTCTAAGTTGTACTGACTCCACACCCCGTCTCGTTTGCAGGCTTTTGATTTTATTGTTCTGTTTTAAAACATTAGATTATGAAAAGGTACTAATATGTACTTTTCACCTGGAAAAAACTTATTTAAGGTGCACAATTGGACCTTAAAACCACTGTTGAACCTTTGAGGGAACATTTACATTGTTTGTACCTTGATGAATGAAAAATGTACCTGCAAATAAACTTTATTTCTAACAGTGTAGCAGCTAAACAAAGCAAGATAGCTAGTAACACCTACTGACCTAGCTATAACCCTAATTACTGTGAAGGTGGCCCTAACACAGTCAATAAAATGAAAGTGTACAGACATAGTTCAAAAGTGAAAAGCTTGCATTTTGTCCTGTGCCAAGAGATTTGATATGAGGACCCTGGGCACACCTCAGAAACCACTGTGAAACTGGAAAAGGCATCCTACCAGCCATACTGAATCCAGGCGTCATTGCATAAACCATAACATTTGGGATTCATTGAGGCTAGGCTGCAGCTAAACTCTGTAGGAGGATTGGTCTCCAGGGGCAACCCTTTTTTGGGGCTTCTATTCATTCTTTTCAGCTACAATCCGCTCTTCCTTTATGAATATATGCTTTATATTTTTTCCCTCCCAGCATGTGTCAAGAGTCTCAAGAAAAGAACGTGGATCTCGGATCTAGGACCCCCCTAGACAGACAGTCTCACACACAAAATCTGTTGAAAGTTGAATATCAGATTCACTGTTTCCCTTTGAGAGGCAAAACAGTGCTCCTAGATCAGCACTCCTACGAGCTGATATTCAGCAGATTTAAGAGATTCAGCATCACACAGAGTGTATGTGAGGATGGCTGATGGACAATAACAGAACCTTCACGCTCTCTCTAAGGACAGTTTAGAAATGTCATCCTGTCTCTTTTACATTGTGATCATCTTACATCATCAGAACCAGGAAGATAACATTGCGTACCCCCCACAGCTCGCAGTGAAATAATCTCCTCAACAGCCCTGTTGTTGTGTTTATTTGATATGTAAAGGACAATCTCACAACACAGAAAATTCGTAAAATGTTTGAACTTGCAAATGCATAAATAGGAATGTAGGTCACTTGTCAGGCATGTTTGATTAGTACTCCGATTAAAGAAATCAGTAATAAGCACTAACCTATCCCAGTTGCACTTTGAAGCTCTTTTTTATAGTGATGGAAAACATGGTAGCGCACAGAAAGCACCCATTCTACACACTGATATGTTTCACTTGGTCAAAGTGCATGTGCTGTAACTCCTCTGGCAGCAAATGATTTTAGGAACTATTGCCAGATTTTCAGAATGGATCACAGGAAAGATGCTCGACTCCAAGGGGGTTAAAATGATCACAAAGTATTACGAATGTCTCAATATTTCTTTGATTTATGATGGTGTCTTTGTGTTCTGTCTGTTTTAGATCCCATACCTGGCCGAAGGTGTTCGCATCCACGGTGAGAAAGTAACGGAGGCATTACGGCCATTCCATGAGCGTCTGGAAGCATGCTTCAGACAGCTGAAAGAGAAAGTGGAGAAACAGTATGGTGTGAGAACACTGGTAAGAACTGAACAGAAATTGAATTGAATTTAAATGGAATTTCTCCTGAACCCTAATGTGTAGCAGATTGGGTTTAAGTATTGTGCCAACATAGACAATTAGCAGACGCTAAACTATAATGCTCAGCAGTAGCTTTAGAGTTGTGGTCTTTATGTCAATCTTTGACTTGTGTTGAGCTCTGCACAATTGTTAGTCTTCTAAAAATAAAGATTATAAATCCTCTGATAATAAATAAAGGCTTCAGAGAGCTGTGACTACACTCTTAGTCATGCATTGCTGATGTCACAGGAAATTATTTTTCTTTTTTTGGCAGTTATTATTTTCCGTAATAAATATTCCATTTTGAATTTCTCCTCTGTGCCTTCTAGACCGTTTATTGCACCAGAAGCTAAAAATCACATGAAAACTACTTGATTTCTTTTTTTTTGATTTATTTATTTATTTTTTTTGGTGGACATTTAAATTCCTGATTAATGCCCTCTATCCTTGCAGTTTTCTCCAGACCACACTCCATAGACCCCCAACTCCCCTCCAGTTCCTCTAACCCTTCACTGTAGGACAATACTGAGCCCGTTCCATCACTCTCCACATTACCCCACTGCGTTTTGTCCCCTAACTCTCCTCCAGCATAGACATGCCTGCTGAGTCCTGCAATGGGACTCCATTAATAACCTGAAAAACAGAAGGAGAGAGTAGGAGAGGGTGAAAGAGAATTAGTAAGAGTGAGGAATGGAGAGAGGGTAGCAGTGATAGCTGCTAGCAGGTATTGATCATCAGCTCCTGAAGCCCAGAGTGATGTTGGTCAGCCATTGGTCGGCGTTGCGATGGCTCATGCAGAGCCACAATGTGACAGATGTACACTAAAGGGCCACTTCAAGGACGCTGCTGCATGTGTGTCTGTGTGGATAAGTAATAGAGATTAAGGGGGGTGTGTGTGTGTGTGTGTGTGTGTGTGTGTGTGTGTGTGTGTGTGTGAGAGAGAGATGGAAACAGTGCCTGTGTCTTGCTGGTTGTAGGCAGCGATGCGTGAATCGGCCTCACTCACCTTTAAGAAAGTTAGTGAGAAATCCTGTAGAGTCTGAGACCCAATAGAGGACATGCAGCAAGGATCAGCACATACAGACTCTCTCTCTCTCACAGGGCATGTTTCTTTAACAGCAGGCTTTAGTCATTTTGTCCTTCTGTTCTTTTACCTTTCCCTTTACTTTTCTCACTTCATCTTTGTTTTTTGCCCTCTGCTTACCCATCTTTTCTCTTTATCCTGGGGCGGTTAAAGAAGAGAACCAGCTAGATTAATGTGCACTGTGCTCTTCACTTTATTCATCTTCAGTATGTGGTTATATTCTGAAATTGCTTATGAAGCTTAAACTATGTTTTTTGAGAACAGTATTAGTACATCAAACTTTTGATAAGTATAAAGTGTGTATAGAGTATAAAATTAAAGCCCTATTTGTACATTTTTCAGCCTCCGATGGCGGATGAGCGTCGCGGTTCTCGGCCACGGTCGATGGTGCGCTCCTTCACCATGCCTTCCTCTCAGAGACCACTGTCTGTCGCCTCCGTCACATCCATATCATCAGACACATCGCCCTCAAGACCAGGATCTGATGGGTACATACTCACACAAGCACTCACACTCACGTCTTACTGCTCAGATCAAGATCAGACAGGTACACTCATTTCACACCAGTGTCAACTCAGGTGGACATATTAGCCAAGTGAAGAATATTTAGTTTTGATTATCATACGGGGTGGGCAATACACTACAAAAAAATTATGTCTTGGCAAGTGATATCATCTTTAATATAATAAATATCTAATAGCTCTCATTTTGAGATTGCTGTAAGAATATTGTACATTTTTTTTTTTTACATGTTAATTTCACTTGAATAAATAAATCTCACTGCATTGACAGATAATTGCACTTGTTACAAGAGACATGCTTGTTATTATCTGTCAATATAGTGAGATAATTTTATGAAGATATATATATTTTTTTAAAATGTGGCCAAAAAGAACACACATATATTTTGTACATTGTCATATTTTTGCATCTTGATGTCACAATGCATTGTTACACACCTAATAATGTCACATTGCCCATCCCTACTCTGTACATACATTTAGTACTCTACATACAAATATAACTACATTTATTGCAAAATATACAGTATTACACCCATTATAGAAGTTAATATACAAACTCATTTCCAAAAAAGTTGGGACGCTGTGTGAAATGTAAATAAAAACAGAATGCAATGACGTGCATATCATGTAAACCCTATATCTAATTGAAAATACTACAAAGACAACAAATCAAATGTTAAAATTAAGAAATATTATTATTAATTTATATATATTTTTTTTAATAAATGCCCATTTTGAATCTGATGCCAGCTACATGTTACATAAAAAGTTGAGACAGGGCATGTTTACCACTGTGTTGCATCATCACTTTTTTTTATCAGCACTTTGTAAGCATTATGAAATGTGCAGGCAGACCAGTTTAGCACCCGGACTCTTTTACTACGGAGCCATTCTGTTGTAATACATGCAGAATGTGGTTTGACATTGTCTTGCTGAAATAAGCAGGGCCTTCCCTGAAAAAGACGTCATCTGGATGGCAGCGTATGTGGCCAAAACCTGTATATATCATTCAGCATTAATGGTGCCTCCACTTCCTATGCTATGTGTATTAATGCACCTCTATATCATCACAGATGCTGGCTTTTAAACTGTGCACTGATAACAAGCTGGGTGGTCTTTAGCCTGGAGGATGCAGTTTCCATAATTTTCAAAAAAAATTCTGATTTTGATTCATCGGACCACAGGACACTTTCCACTTCACCTCAGTCCATTTTCAGTAAGCTCAGGCCCAGAAAAAGCTGTGTTTTTTTTGGATCCTGTTTAAATATGATTTCTTCTTTGCATGGTAAAGTTTTGCACAAACCTGCACTTGTGGATGCAGCAACAAACTGTTCACAGACAGTGTTTTTCAGAAGTGTTCCTGAGCCCATGCAGTGATTTCCACCACAGATTCTTGTCTGTTTTTAATGCAGTGCCACCTGAGAGCCCAAAGATCCCGGCCAGTATTGGTTTTCGGACTTGTCTCTTGTCTACAGTGATCTCTCCAGAATACATTAATGATATCATGTACCGTAGATTATGAAAGTTCTTTGCTATTTTATGTTGAGAAACATTGTTCTTGAATTCTTGCACTGTTTTCACTACTATTTTCACAGAGTGGTGAGCCCTTCATTATCTTTACTTCTGAGTAACTCAGCCTCTCTGGGGCGCTCCTTTTATTCCCAATTATGTTACTGACCTGTTGCCAATTAACCAGTAGGTGTTTTTTGTTTGTTTGTTTTTAAGCATTATACAACTTTACCAGCCTTTTGTTGACCCATCCCAACTTTTTTGAAACGTGTTGCTGGCATCAGATTCAGGATGGGCATATATTTTTCAAAAAACAATACAATTTCTTAGTTTCAACAGTTGATATGTTGTCTTAGTAGTATTTTCAATTAAATATAGGGTTTAAATGATTCGCTCATCATTGCATTTTGTTTTTATTTACATTTTGCACAGTGTCCCAACATTTTTGGAAATAAGATAGTAGTTAACAAGTGAAGAAAGCTTAATAACCACTATTTAGCACTTAGCATCATGCATGCTTCATGCCTTAATCGTTACTACATACAGAATTATACATGCGTGCCTCAAACCGCCTGGTATCATAGTGACGCTCAAAAAAGTCAAGTTGATTTGACTGATTACCACATTGTAACTTGCAGCTTTTAAGGCATTCTAAGTTCTGTCTACTCGCTGTTTCTCTGAAAAGATGATGTCATCAGGCTGCTGAAATAAAAATGTATCGCTAGGCCTAATTATGAATTAATAAGTGAATGAATGCTGTGTATGAACAAAGATGTCTTTTAAAAGGGGTCAATCAGAAGTGGGAAATCTATTGACCTAATCAGGCTGGTTTTGATTGTGCGAGAGAGTCAGTACGTCTGCGCGTCTTTGCGTTCATGTTTCTATGGGTGCATGATTAGGGAATGTGTGCGTGCCTGATTAGGGTGTGTGTGCGTCTGACATATTGAGAGGTTGATGCCAGTCCTGCGTAGCGGGCACCGTGATGCCAGCCTGAAGGATTAATTAGCACGCGGTTGGAGAGTGTGATCCCATCAGCGATGCCCTCCACTGGTATTTAATTGCAAAGGGCATCGCACCACATGCTCTTTCATTTGATCAGTTAATCCGTCTGGTTGAAGCAGTCTGCTTCGCTCAAACCGGAGTCAGTGCAGAGAAATACCAATTATGAGAGGCAGCGTTGGGTGTCTCAGATTTAGACTTGCTTTTGTCCAGCAAGTCTTTGTAAGGTGGAGGCAGACACACAGAGAATTGTGGTCCTCTGTAAGGTCAGATGATCCGTCAGTCACTTATTTATCTGGAGCTCCAAAATTTGATGGAGATTTGATAACTTTAAAATGGGTACTTTGGACATAAAAAGATTGCTTCAGAAATGATGTATTATGTTTATGTTTAATGTTACATGTTTTCTTTTATTGTACTGAGTCTGTGCCATGCTCTATAGGAATAATAACACAGAGATATCAGTACATTCATTTCAGAGTAGAGAGCGACAGTCTACAGTTAATACAAAGGCTCAACGAATATTTCACTTTGCTTTGAAAGCTGACGCGAGCACAGACAAGGCCTGCTTAAAGCAGATAGTCATTAGCTTGAGTTTCCAGGAGCACATTCATACAGTAGGTTCATTTTCTTGTGGGGTATTTTTATTACATATTACTTGCAGATATTAACCTGTGGAAAGGGTAGCCTTTTGGATTCTAGAACAGAGAGCTGCACGAGAATGAGGACAGCGGTGATACTGCGGATTTCTGAATTCAGAATTACTGCGGGTATGGGAAAGGAATTAAATTTTTTCACACGGTGACAGTGGGAATGGGGATAAACATTATGGTATTCCTGTGGGAACAATAATGAAAGGACCGGGTTTGTTTTTTGAGCTAAGGTCAATTCATTCCATATGCTCAACCCATTGTTTTTTTCTTTGACAGAGCAGTCTCATTCTCATACCTTATGAGAAACCGGAAACCGGTCTACCCTTTTCAAACGCCAACGTCTTTAAAAACGTTAGGTTTCGATTTGTCTTGTAATAAACGTCACTATCAGATGAACACATATATCAGAATCAACAAAACCTATGTTTGTTCAAAGGCGAGTCATTTAATTGGCTTTGTAGTTGGAAAATATGAGATAATTTGTCTGAATAATAAGTTGCAAAGTGAGGTGGGATGGAGCGCATAAGGATCAGGACAGGGGTGTTGGGAACGTACGAGGTGGGAACAAAATTTCATCTGCCTTCTTACGTATGTGGTGCATGCAACCAATCACTACTCATTTCAGGCAAAATTAAATGCACACCCCATGCAAGCCTGGTGAAGTCAGGATCTTCAGTGTAAATTGCCATGAAATATAAATTAGATGGCAATACAGAAAAGTTTTACATTATCTTATTATTAGTACAATTGGTCTCTAATAATTAACCATTTTATAATCAGAGATATACAAATATTAGATTTCCGTGACACTTCATGCCTGAATATTCTGTGTTTCTATTTCTATCATTCCTCTAGGGCTCAGACCAAATGTCAGAGGCACATTTCCGTTTGCTGTTCATTATATATATGTGTCAGTGTGATATTAAAGATTGCTCTGACATGCACACTCAACTCTTCGCTCTCTCTTTCATCACTTTTTTCTCCTTCCCTCCCACACATTTCCTCCTCGCTTGACTCTTCTTTCCTCTTCTACTTTCCTTCCTTCTTCTTTCATGTCCTCCTCTTCCTCGCTTTTTTCCCCTCATGTTTTATCTCCTGTCTTTTCATTTTCTCTCTTTTGCCCTATGCTGCCCACATTTTTGTTCTGTCTTGCTCCCTTTTTACTGCGTCTTTTTTCTTTTCTTCACTCTCTTGTCCTCCTCTTCCTCTTTCCTCCGTTAGCTTTGCCCTGGAGCCACTCTTGCCCAAAAAGCAGCACTTCAAGTCTCAGGACAAGCTGGACCGGGATGAGCCCGAGAAAGACAAGAAGGAGAAGAAGAAAGAGAAAAGGAACAGCAAGCACCAAGAGATTTTCGACAAGGAGCTGAAAACCACTGACATACCCATGCAGCCCACTGAGGCAGTTATTCTGTCAGAGACGGTGAGAAAACACACATGCAGACGTGCCCCTCCAGCCTCATTTGTTCCTACACATCGACCTTTTAATTTTCATTTTCAGGCTATGAATTTAAAATTAAAAAATGAGGCTGTTTGCTAATGCATCTATTTACACAACTTGATGCGGCCACCGTGGTATAAAATGGTGAGTGCAAAATATACACAGAGGAAAGCCCATTATAACTGCATAATAATCCGTTAAAAGCATCTGGTAACCTTGCTGAACAATGTGTCCTCTGAAGAAAATACCAATAAAGAGGAATACACAGTGACATGGTCCTGGCTTTTTAGAGAGCGTCTTGAAAATTGCCTCTCTCTAAATATCAAAATGACTTTTCTGCTTGCTAAAGGATTTATTCTTGCACTGTTCATTTCGGCAGTGAATTCCTTATCATTGCATAGCCCATAAATGTCCTTTTCTTTACCACATTCAGCTTGTGCGGTTAGTACATCAGCATCCAACGTTTTTCAGTTCGTTTTTCTTTCTTGTACTCAATCGTCACAAAACTCTTGAACTCTCATGTAATTTAGAAATATATTTCTGTCCCTTTTCATACCGTTCGGGTGTGACCTCCCCCGTTGTTATTCCACTTCAGTCAATGAAAACTCAGCTTGTTTTCCCACCCCATGGTGTATGTGCTGCATAATAGCAGTAATAGCTTATAACAGCTGTGAGCAGTGTTTCCCATGTCAACTTTCATTTCCCACAGGAAGCATACAGTAAGCCTCTTTATTGACCATTATTGTTTATTGGATCTGCTGTAGCTTATTATTACATGTGTAACTCCTCAAATCTTTTTAAAGATCACTTGCAGTGCAGGCCTTTACTCAGTCTTCAATCTTCTGTCAGTAGATCAGTAGTTGTATTATTCAGCTTTCGATTTCTGGGCTACCCTATCTCTAGGACAACAGGCTAAAGTGCTGCTATGCATTTATTTTATCTGAATCTAAAAGTCTGAAGAAAGTCACTATTGATTATATTGTATTATTTATTGAATTATCTTCTGACTATTTTGAAAAAATAAAAATGAGCTTGAGCAAAAACAGTGTTAAGCATGCCAAGTACTTTACCAGAGTCCAGCAGGAGAATTTAAAATATATTTTATCATCATGCAAATTGCAAACTAATCATTGCTGGTTCACCGGAAAGCTAAATTTGCATCATTTTTTTAATCAGGTTTAATTTAGTAATGATGACAGCCCTACAAGTCAGTCATATAGAGTGACTTGAATAATCAAAGTCATAACAAGACAGAATGTACTGTGTTTTTTCTTTGTCAGTACAATCAATAAAAATGCTGGTCAGCTGGTCCACAGTAAAATTATGCCAGAGCTGTTTCTATGAAGCGTCTGAGAGTAGGAGTGCTGATATAAGATCTGTTCTTGTGAGCGAGGTCACTGTAAATAAGAGAGGAATCTGGTCCAAAATCAGCACTGCTACTCTGAGAAGCTTCATCAACACAGGCCCAGATCCCATAACGGAAGTCTGATGTACTGTGTTCATTGAGACTAGTACTTTCATCACTTTTCCTAATCATAAGGCCTCATTCACCAACCGCTCTTAAGAAGACATTCATGAAGGCAGTTTTCATGAAGATTTGACATTCACCAATGTTTTCTTATTTGGAATTTGTTCTTAGGTAAGAACAGAATCTACACCCAGTCAAGAGCACAAAGGTGTGAACAGTTCTGTGGTTTGAGAGCACGTCATGAATCTGACGTAAACGTTTTCTTAGGACCTTTCTCAAGAACAGATTTAAGAACAAACTTTGGAAGATATTGGAGAATGAGGCCTTTAGTTCATGTAATGCCTTACTATGACTCTGTTCTTTTTCTTTTCCTGTTTGTGTTTACAGATCAGTCCACTGAGGCCCCAGAGACCAAAGAGTCAGGTCATAAACCTGGCAGGGGAGAAAAGGCTCTCTGTGTCCCCAGGCCCTACTGTTCCTCAAACTGCTTCATCTGCCCCTCCACCCATCACCCCCAGGGTCAAGCTCTCCTTTAGTATGCTCTCTTCCTCCAGTACGTAACAATTCGCTCATCTGTGTACACCAGTGTTCCCCCACAAATGCATTTGGCTTGTTGTAAGCATGTTCCACCATTGTCCCCTAATTCACTGGTCATGTATCTGTGTAACAGTTTACTTTAGTAAGATGTTTTCCACCATGACACCACTGTACTCCCAGTTTGAGGTTACTCTCTGCCGACACATCTCTCTCTTACATTTTTGAAGTGAAAAGACGTAAACACAGTTTACAGTAAACTATCACCAACACAATCACCAAAGTAGAGTTGGGCAGTGTAACGATAATTAGCTATACTGTGGTATTTAAAAATGATGCCGGTATTTAAAAAGTTGACGGTATTTCAAAATGATGTCAGATTTCTATCTCACATCTGTGCACACTTGTATGATGGTGGTGCTGTTAAAAAGAAGGAAAAAATCAGAACCAGGAAAAACCTCAGGAAACAAGCATTGTAAGCATGATAGAGATTGCTTAGTTTCACGCAGCATAGTACATGTTCAGTTTCAGGCTTTAACACACAGAATGCGGTGCAAATAAATTACGCAAAAATGTGATCAGACACATTGTTTCATATTAATACTCTACACACCGGACACGAAACGTTTTTTGAAATTTAAGTGTGTTGCTCACATTGCTAAAAAAAATGACCAGAACACCCTGTCAAAAAGATATGCCTTGCTTCTCGCAAAACGGGCATTGTGCCTGGCACTTTTCACTTTGGACAAGTCAAAGGAGAATGGACCGTGTCTCTGCCTCATTCAGGAGCTAAAGCTTCGAGTGCTTTTGCATACAACTCTGCTTTTGGAGATGCAGATCCGCACGAGACGAAGTACAAAACAAACAGGGCTGAATGTCTTTAAGTGGAAATAAGATCTCTTTTACTCCTCACAAAAGCAGCAAATGGTGACACTGGGATACATTCCATTTTGAAAGCTTTATCGCTTCATTCAGCAGCTGAAGCTTTGAGTTCTTCCACAGATAACTTGGATGTTTGTAGCTCAGTTTCAGCCCCGTTTTAGCTGCTTTTTTAGATTCTAATCCTTGTTACGTTTACAAAAAAGTTCCAGTTGCTGGGACACAGCTGATCAGCCATCTTGGTTGTTGCCATACCAACCAAGTTAGCCAATTAGCTTTAGTTAGCCAAAATCATGTTCTGTGGTGAGCAGAGCTGCTATCATGCTAGCTAAGCTAACCAACTCCTCTTTCCTAGTTAGCAGCACTGTTTAACATTTAACGCAGTAACGTTTAGATAGATGATTTGACATTTATTGAATTCTGCCTTGAAAACTGTGCACTGTGTTCACTATTTGGTGACCATGTAATATTAAATACTGTGGTAATATTTGGAGACAGTTTGAAGGTATTAAAGGAAATACTGCCCAACCCTACACCTTCGAAGTGAATAAAAATCATAAAGTAACTGTTTTTTCTGCATACAGTTGTATGTATGGGCAGAGCAGTGTTTGAATAACCTTCCATAACTTAAACATCAGAACAGAAATAATGACAAGCGTTAAAGAGATTAAGCAATCTAAGAAGATCTGACATCTGATCTGAGCTAAACACTTTAAACTCTAATAGCACAACCAGTCTAGCAAAGAAGACATTTTGATTGGTTTATTGTGTTTTCCCCATGTCCTTCATGACATTTTCCTAATTTCTTTGTTTTTCAAAAAGTCAGCATCAAAATTAGCATCAAACAAATCTGACCTGAAGAGGAAATTCTTACCTTGTTTCACATTCAGAAGTATAGCACATTGCTGTTTAAGATGCATTTCATGCTGAGGTTTCCCAGCTGGTGAAGTACTGTGGAGTTTAAAACAAAATGGTTATTCCCTAATGACTGAATGTTCTCCTCCATTCTCTTTCTATGAAGATCTGTAGCTGGGTACCCTCAGTGCAAGCACAGTTTACTGTCTGAGGATCTAGAGGTTGCTTTGTGTGTCATCATCTTTGCCGCAAGATTTCAGCAGGACTCAGACAGATCAGAGGGTATCCACTGGTCTCTACAGAGAGTTTAGAGCTTGTCATCAAACTGTTTTTCATGTGTTATTGGCAGATCTAGAGTTGAATGGGATGGGCTATGGAGATAAGGGGGAGATTCCACCTCCTCTACCAATCAAAAGCAGCATGGGTGACTATGGAAACCTGATGGACAGCCAAGAACTGGCCAGCCCAACCACACCTCCTCCCCCTCCTCCTCATCAGAGGGTAAAAAAACATGAGCACCTATACAAAACATGAACATCAACACCTGACTGGAAGTAGTTCAGATGAAACAGGCTCATACATTGCATGGTGTCCTTCAAGAAAATAAAAAAAACTGAAATATCTTTTTGTGGGCCTGGCTATTCACTTCAGTTCAGTCAGGATTGGACATAATTTCTTAAATATTAGCCAGGCTTGGATCTGGTCCAGAGTTCATCTTCCAGTTTGAACTTGTTTCTTTGATGGGTTTCCACCTACATTTCCACCTGCATTAGTGCCTCCCCCAGCTTGCTGAAGTTGTTGGTTGTAAGATACATCATGGTCCATGAGACCAATATGAATGCGTTGGCCTTTTGAAGTTTATCCAGACCTTTTTTTGAGATGTTTGAAGGCATTGGTTGATAAATTTGTTAAAATGGAGCTGAAGCTTTTAGCTTTAAAACTTTAAAATTTAAAAATTTGCACATCTGATTTGTACTTCAGATGCAAATTTGAGTCAGGTCCGGACAGGCTTTTGTTTAGCTGCTGTCGGAATGAGAATTTGTTGCTGTGGGTCAGGAGAATGTTCTTGGGCTGTATTCAAGTTTGGAGCGAAATTTTATGCTTGATTTTAAACTCTAAACGACACCAGTAACACTAGTGGAGATTCAGTTGGATTTACAAATCCAGCACAAAAAAGTTTGACGTTTTTCATCCAAAATTCCAGAAAAAGACAATGGACAGGTTTGACAGGACCTATCAGTCGGGCACACAAAGTATGCATTTGACCTTTGTCAAATCCTTAATTGGCTGAGAACACTCTCTCATAAACACAGCCTTCATTGCTATGCTTGTCATGTATATGGGGCAGTAGCAGAGGATGAATGAATATATGAATTGCTCTATAATTTGGCTCTATATCATCCTGCATGGACTTAGCCTTTCTTTCCATCTCTTACCATTTGCCATCCTGTTTCTGTGCCTATTCATCTGTCTTTCCTTACCAATTCCCTCCCTTATTAAACCACACCACTCTCTTGTAATTTATTAATATCTCTTTTCAACTGATCCACCCCTTTCTATCTTTTTCCCTTTACTGGACATAATTATTGTCTGGTCTATTCCTCATTCTTGACCCGTACATCTCTCTGTAAGAGGTCTAATTAATCCTGGGGCTTAGGATAAATGAACAGCAGATCAGGCAAACAGATCTGGTTGTTAATGTCACTGATAACAGCATAATCTTCTCCTTCTAGTGCCCTACAGCACATCTAACATGTTCTCTGTGTAGTCTTTTATTTGCCATTTCTTGCAAGTACCACATGTTTGTGAGTACGGTTGTTGTAATACATCTGTGCATGTTTGTAACAGCTTTAACTGCAGTCCTTGATGTGTTCTCTTGATGGCTGTGCTGCTGTGTACAGCAGGTGTGGTGATTCCTGCAGAGACACTATGAGTGCTCCATACTGCACTGTGTGATTTACATCTAACAGATGTCACAGTGTCAGCATGACAGCATGGTTCTCTCTCTGTAAAATCATGCCTTAACCTCATGCTCACTCATGCATTCACAAAGGATGTTATATTGATGTAAACACTGGCCCTGTCTTGTATCCCTCACAAACTCCCTGCATGTTATTTTTGTTCCACTCTATATGTGTGAATGACTGGAATGACTGTAAATTTCCTTTTGACTTAACTCTTGAAATGTAACAGTGACAACACGCAAGCGTAATGAGGAAAATATGCTAACAGGACATTTTGGTATCCGACATGAACACGCCTCTTACTAGCTCATTACTGTACAGAACAATATATTAAAGCAGGGGTGCCCAGTCCTGACTCTTGAGATCTAACAGCCTGCAGAGTTTAGCTTCAACTCTAATTTAACACACCTAAACCAAATACTGAAGGTCTTTAGTGGCATCTGAACATTAGAGCCAGGTGAGCTGGATTTGAACTCTCCAGGGTGGTAGACCTCCAGGACCAGGATTGGGCACCCCTGTGTTAAAAGATAGCAAATATCAGTTCATGACAGTGGAAAGAAAGGTTGTTTTGAATTTTAACTTTTAATAGGACATACTGTGACATAACTATGCGTCAGCCAGTATGAGATGATCTGATGCAGGACTTAAGCCATTCACATTGATGTTAAGCAAGAAAAGAAAGTAATTACTCTCATCATTCAAGTGGTCACAAGGGAAAAACCTAAATCCCTACCCACAAACACACCTGCAGCGAACTAAATGTGTCATGAATGAGGACCTAAAGGGACGTTCCAGCCAAAAACTATAGATTGTTATTTGTTATGCTGTGCAGTATTCTGCAGCATTATATCCAACAGCCTCATCGGTTTTACAGAATACATTATTTTGCATTGTTTTCAAATACATCATACAAGTACTGGGAATCCCTGTGGTGTCATCCAGTTCTGACTGCTAGCCTAGCTACTAGTAGCCACAGGCTAATAAGTACGACCAAGCTAGCATTAGTACTCTTTGCATCAGAGACAGTGTTTCATTATGATTCGATGTGTTAGCCAGAGAAAGGAAGTTTAGTTGTTAAGATATGTTACCTCAAGCAAATTGAGGTAAGATATCTTAACAACCAACTACCTTTAGCTTTTAGCTTGCTGTCCCTTTAAGCGCACGATGCCTCTAGATTGACTGTTGCTTAACATACTGATACTTTCTCTCTATATGTCTTAACCACTGCTGTGTGTTCTTGAACCTCAGCTTTGGAAAGTGTGTTTAATTAACCCAGAGACTTTGGCTTCCATGAGATCACGGACAGGGGCCACATCATTGTATGTGGACTCTCAAGTGCTGGCCTGCTTTTAGCTGCTTGCTAATTCTCTCCTGGGCTTACTTAGCCTGCTGTTCTGATTACTACAGTAAGATGGCAATTATTTTTATTTAAAGGAGATAGAGCAAGTAAAAAGATGTTTTTAATAGGGTTCTCAGAACACACTGTGCCGGGGTGAAGAACTCTGTTCTTTAACTCCACTGAGATAGTGACTACAGCATTAGAAATTAAGTGCTCACTCTGTGTCGCTCATGAATTTTAACGCTTTGTCTCTCTTTCTTTTGCTCTGTCTGTTTTTCATTTTGGTCTTTTCTGCATCTCCAGCACATGCCCCCGCCATTGCCAAGTAAGACCCCTCCTCCACCTCCTCCGAAAACCACACGGAAACAGGCATCCATCGACTCAGGGATTGTCCAGTGAGCCTCACAGCTTAAACGACAGAATAAATTCCAGCGGAAACCTCAGTAGTCCCCCCCAGAGACTTGGCTTGGATGATTTTGAATCGCCCTCTCTGACAGTGTGACAGAATGAAGAGTTCATCGTCCTCTCTCATAATCGTCACGCTGAAGGAGCCGACCTGTCCAGGGACTCTGTCTCTCACCCACTCATTATTAGTCAAAGCCTCATCCCAGGTGTCAGTGCTAGGTACAATATATGATCTATTTCACACCTCTGCTGGCTTGTAAAATGAAATGGTCTTGTGAAGCATGTGGCTACAATGAACAAATCAAGACTTGGCTCACCCAGCTTCAGAATGCGGGACTTCTGCAGATAGCCCAGCCAATTTGTCAGCCTGCAGTTCTAGATTGTCATTCCAATTTTTCGACCAGAGTCGAGATGAGTCTAGATTTATTGAGTCTTGCCTTTTTTTTTCTTTCTTCTCAGCCTTATGACCAAGATGTATGACCAACTCATACCACTCTCCAAAGCTGAGGGGTTGTTACATAATCAGAATCCTTTAATATTTTTCCACCTTCTTAAATGCAATTTTGCTTTCCTCAATATATACACATATATGTACAGAGGTTTGTATATATGATTTTTATTTTATTTTTATTTTTTCTTTACTTTTGGAAGTGAATTTGATCATGATCTTTTTGTATTAACATTGCATCAAATTAACTGGCATTTTTATCCAAAAAGGGCTTTTACGATTTTCATTGACAGGGACTGTAAAGTACTTCTGTGTACTTCGGTAGAAGTGCCATCCATTGATCATATGGGTATTTTTTCTTTTCTTCCACCTTTTTTTGTTTATTTGTTTTTGGAGTGTACACAACTAACTCCCACTGTACTATCATTGTATAGAATTTGTAATGCTGTAACCTTGGATTTCAATAACATTGACTGTTCCAAATTCACTACTGACTTAAATAAACTCAGTGTATGTATTTTCAAACATGGCTGCTGGGGCTTTGCGGCTGTGCTAACTCGTCAGTGTGATGTAAATCACTGCAGATGTGTTTCTGATGCTTTCCTCAACTTCAAAGGGCAATCGATGGCTGACCCTCACCTTTGAGCAGAGGGAGGAATCACACCGTCTCTTCTTGCTCTCTCCCTGCTGCTGTACAGAGATTCAATGTAATCATCTTTCTCTCTGCAGTTTACATTAAAAGCCTGTGGAGCATCTAGATCACAGTTGCAGCTTAAGGTGTTGGAATTTGGAAGAAGGTATGCATTTAGTTTCTAGCTTTTGCTTAAAAAGGGAATTTACCGCCTTTTGAAAATATCTGCATAATTCAGTGGTTGAGAAGTAAACAAAGTCATTTAGAGTTATTTAATGTGAAATGGTTAATAATACAGAAGCTTACTAATTGCAATTTCTTTTTAGGGGTGATGATAAGAACCAGTGGTTATGATGTCTGCAATGCAAATATAGCCATTTCATTTACGAAAAACACGAAACCAAGCATCCAACACCACACATATCTTCTCAGTTTTTATATGTAATGTTGATGAAGGTCAAAAAAGTGGTAAATCTGGAAGAAAAAAAAAAAAAACATTACATACTATTTTACCTTATATCACCCTGCATGTACCTTTCCAAGGCCAAACGTATTGCAGGCCAAAACGATCTCAAAACTATAGTAAAACAATTGCCTAGGTGTAATAAAATAATGATTTAATGTAATAAGTTGCTGTGAAGTAGCATTTAAAGATTTAAAGACTGGTTCTGGTTCCTAACTCCACCGCTGTTAGAACAACTCAGAGTTTCTCTAGAATGGATTGTTTCACATCAAAACACTCTGACTGACTTTGTTTACATCTTAACAATTTAATAATGCAGACATTTAGAAAAATTGGTGGAGTTTCCCTTTTAGAGATGAATGTAATTGAACCTTTTTGAGAGATGAATGTTTTGAACCTCAAAACAGGAGTGAACAAGTTCTGGTTCCGTCTTTACTCTGATGCTCTTTCATATATACACATAACATTTGGGATGCAGTCTGCCAAACATAAGTGAAGTGCAAACAGATACTGTGTATCTGAAAACCTGCCCACAGCGCTTGACATTCCATGAAACACATGTACTCTTATCTCTGTTAATGCCAGAAAACTGAATTCTGTAAAAACAGCTTGAGTCTTAATTAGCTTCAACAGTAGAAGTTTACATAAACAGCAGCTCTGCTCCAAGATGATTTTGTGAAAATATTGGAGGACACGTTAGTGTGTGGGGCTGAATAAGATCATTGTGTTCAGGGTTAGCGCAGGGAGGACAACAGCTTTTAGATAGCTTTCATTTTTCATTTGATGTTTTGTTGTTTGGAAGATGAAGTGAGGGAGTATTTTGACTGCAGTGAATTGATTTTGTTAAAGTCATCAGACTGAACAATTCCTATTTTATGTTGTTTTAAACATTAACATGGGAATGAAGTTGATTTGTTTGCACTTAATGTACTTTTTTCCTCATTGTCTGAAGCCACTGATGGAAGACAAAAGGCATGAAAAGTTGATAAATGAGCAGTTCCAGTTCTGGAGAGCTACTGAAGGGGAAATGTGATACTGCAGTGAAGTTGTCTTCTTGGATAAGAGCCACCCTTCGATGCTTTCCATCAGCTATAGCCATGTCTCTGGACTGAATCATCTGCTGTCGTTGATTTAAGACATATGAACGGTTTACCTGTCCTTAACTCTACAGTCACTTATGGCCTCCAAATTAAGGTTAGTTCTATGAGTAACTGCCCATAGAAATGATTTCTCCCCATAATAGATGGAGTCTGCCAGTGTAATGTGCCTAGAGGTGATGGACTATAGGCAGTGGGTAAAGCACACAATGTAGAGTTAAAGCCGGTGAATGACGGCTCCTGGGGGGCTGTTCAAAGCTCTTGTAAAAGTCTAGGTTTTCTCCTTTAGGGCTTTGATTCACATCTTTTAAAATTCTCATGTCGTTTTATGCGAGTCACTCGGCGCCATCCTGATTTTAATATAGCAGTGATATATTCATCCAGAAGTGGCCATGAGCTAAATTGAATCCATCTTTCTCACTGATTGTTCTTTTCTCCCTCCCTGGCTCAGTCAGACCCTGCTGCGATTAAGGGAGTGTGCTCAACTGGATCCACGTCAAATCACCAAATGCTGTCTGCCTCAAGTGTATTTTGGGCTAAGTTGAGGGGCCACTTTATTTTTTAATTTAAGAATTAAAGGGGAGTTGTAGTCATTTTGAAACATTTCTGCATAATTAACCCATTAAGATGTAAGCAGAGGCATTAAGAGTCGTTTGATGTGAAATGCACTAATTTAGAGAAAGTTGCAGAGTTCACAGCGGTTGTGAACAGAGCCAAATGTCCGAACCGTTTAATAACCATCCCTCACAGAAAGTTATTACATGAAATGATTACAGATGCACTGCCTGATGTCTGAGATGTTGTTGTATAATGGTTTCGAAACAAGGTTTTGGCCCAAAATGTATTATTGTATTTTTTTAAGATTATTTTTGTAGCACAAAATAATCCTCAAAGAAAACATAATTTTTCAGATTTACTTTTATCAATATTAAAACTCAGGTTCAGTGGTTGTTTTGGATAAGAAAAGGATTGTAAATTGTAATGAAATCAGAGTTGGTAAGTTTGCAGCATTTCACATCAAACCACTCTAAATAACTTCAGTCACAGTGACCGGATTATGCAGTGTTTTTGAAAAATCAGGAATTTAATACTACTAAGAGTTTTGTGTTAAAGTGATGTTTATGACTGAATTTCTTCAGTAAGCTTTCTTTGTCATTTTTCGATATGTGGTCTATGCTTGTGAAACTTGTCAAGTCAGTATAGCTGCTCTAACTGGTATTCAGGTGTGTCATATTTACATCAGCAGCATTTCTCAAACATGTACAGTACTGTGCAGAAGGCGGCCAAGAAAATTTTTTTTTCTCAGCTGTGTGTTTTACCAGAACACTTTACAGATACAAATTCAAAACACTATATCATGCTAGGGGTCTGCTTCCCAGACAGGGATTAAGCTTAATCCTAGACTACATTTTCCTTTCAAAGGAGCACTTCCATTCAGAATGTTGTGAAATCCAGGATTAGACTCAATCCTTAGGAAACCAACCATAGAAGAAATACAGTAAATCATAACTAGATTTATTTTGTTTAAAAAAGTTATAGATATCTTGATTAGAAGAACACAGATTTTTTGAATCCTGATTTCTCGCTGCTCTTCAGTCATTGCATGGATCCGTTAAATTCAGCATGTTTAATTTAGTCATGGGGTTGGATAAACTAGGTATTAGATGGTTACTGTAAATACTGGGCTTCCTTTTCATGTGTTGGAGTTTCAGTGTGTGCGTTTTACAATAGTTTGGCTAAAAAAGTGATCAAATCATTATTTAGGCAAAACCTGGTCTTCGTAAGGAAGACACTTTGATAAACATGAGTTTTGCAGAATATACCCGAAGTTTTAAAGCTGGTGTGTGTTAACAAACCTTAACATGTACTTTAACATGTGCAGCAAAAAAAAGAATCAAACTGCAAAAGTAGTGACCTCAGACTTCATGAGTAAATACACACCCATGCGTCTAGGCTGGCAGTTCTGTCTCTCTTGCTCCAGCTCTCTCTCTCATGTGTGCTACTGTACTTCAGCTGACTCACTCTCACCTTTGCAAAGCTCAAGCTTATCTCACTGCGGTTTCCTCTCTGTCTATTTCATCCTGACTCTATTGTATTGTTGGCTGAAAAAGCAGAGATTTGCAGATTTGCAGAGCACAGCTTCAGTAGGGACCGTCCTCATATTCACACTGTTCAGAGATTCACCTGATAGACTCTGAGTCCATCAACACTGATAACTGCATTACTGCATGCTGACACATCCCTCTCTCTCTCTCTCTCTCCCTCTCTCTCGCTCTCTCTCTCTCTCGCTCTCTCTCTCTCCCCCTCCCTCCCTCCGTCCCCTGTCTCCTTCTTACTTTCTCCATTCCTTTTCTCTCTTCTTCTCTCTATCCTTTCTTTTTCTCTTCCTTCCTTTTCTCCCTCCTTCTCACACCCCTTTTTCCTTTGCCCTCTTTCTTTCTCTCTTCCTTCCCTTCTCACTCTCCTTCTCTCTCTCCCTCCCCCTCCCCTGTCTCTTTATTACTTTCTCCTTTCCTTTTCTCCCTCCTCTCTATCCTTTCTTTTTCTCTTCCTTCCTTTCTCCCTCCTTCTCTCACCCCTTTTGCTCTTGCCCTCTTTCTTTCTCTCTTCCTTCCCTTCTCACCCTCCTCCTCTCTCTCCCCATCCTCTCTCTCCCTCTCCCTCTCTCCCATCTCTTTCTTACTTTCTCCATTCCTTTTCTCCCTCCTTCTCACACCCCTTTTTCTCTTGCCCTCTTTCTTTCTCTCTTCCTTCCCTTCTCACCCTCCTTTTCTCTCCCCATCCTCTACCTCTCTCTTTCTTTCTCTCTCCCTTCCTTTCCCTCCCTCCTGCTGTCCCCTCTCCCTATTTTTCTTTTTCCATTTCATTTTTCCCTCCTTCTCTCTACTTTCTCTCTTTCTCTTTCTTTCTCTCTCCATCCCTTTT